CTCTCTCCCTCTGTCCTTCTCCTGTTTGTCGGCGTCCTCCTTATTTTCCTCGTCGCCCGCCCGCCCCCCCCTCCCCTCCCCTGGCGGCCCCCAGTCCCACTGCCGCCACCACGGCCGCCAAGTGTCGGAGCTGGAGGCCCCCCGCCTGGCTCCCCTCCCCCTTCCCCCTGCGGTCGGTCTTCACCCATCTTTCCCAGCAGAGCGCCTCATTCCCCCGGGGTTTCGGCTTAGCGCGCGTCGATCCATCACGAGTAGGCGCGGCGTACGCACCCCCCCCCCCCTGCTCACCCTTACACACCCACGCACGCATAGGCGCTGCCTGGTGAAGGGAAACAAGCACACGAAGCCGCCACACGCACATACAAGCACACGCACATAGAGCGAGGGATCCCGCCGCCGCGCTCATGCAAGACGATATGGTTCGCTTCCCCCGGCTGTCCGGCCGGCCGAAAGACCGGCCCGCAGGGCCGGCCCCCCCGGCTGGTGACCAGCCGGCCGCCATCCTGCCGGAGGCCGACCTGGCCGGGCTGCAGCACACCTTAGCCACGGCCATCACCCCTCCGCGGCTGCTTTGCAGCTCGGTGGTCCAGCGTGTTTTCGCCAATGAATTTCCCTTCCTGCACACCTCCTCGGCCGCCGCCAACTACACCGGTCCGGGGGCCGCATCCATCGGCGGCGGGCCGGCCAGCCTTGATGGGGTCGGCGGTTCCGGGGCCGCCAGCCGGCGCGACCCCAGCCGGCGCCCCTGCCCCATTACCACGCTGGACCCGACTCTGGCACACCGGCGTCTGACCTCCACCGTGAGCATCACATACAATGCGCCCGGCTTCTCCGGACGCCATGGCCGGCCGATTGGGCGCCTGGCTTCCTTTTCGGCGGCTGATCTGTCCGTCGGCCGGTCACACCTGTTCGGTGCCTGCCGTGACTCGACCATCCGCGTGTGGGACGTGCCTTCGGCCCCGTCGCCCGGCGATCTGCCCACCACCCCGTCGCAGGTGCGCCGCCTCCCCCTTCTGCCCGGTCTGCCTCTGTCTCTCTCTCTCTCTCTCTCTCTCTTTCTTTTTTTTTGCCAGTCTTAACCCCCTGTCCATCCTCCTCCTCCTCCTCCTCCTCCTCATCATCATCACCTGCAGTCATCTTTTGTCCTGAGCGGCCACTCTGACTGGGTGAACGACATAGCCCACTTCAACCACGGCCAAAACAGTGCGTCTCTTCGCCGGAATGCCCCAACGGCGCACACCGCCCGCACACGCTTCAGCCGGCGCCTGCGCGCAAACGCTCACACTCGCATGCATGTCCTTCTCCTGTGGCCGACCATTTACATCTCGCTCCCCCTCCGCCCCCCTGCCCCTGTCCACAGTGCTCTCGGTGTCATCCGACTCCACCATCGGCATCTGGGATGTCCGTCGGGTGTACTCGGAGCTCAGTGATGCCCCCAGGGCCGGGAGCTACATTGGGTCCCCTGCCCCGGGCACTCCGAAGGCCCTGCGGCCGCTGAGCCTGCTCCAGCACCACCGAGACTTCGCCATGCGCGTGGTTGTGCCCCGCCAGCAGTCCGGCCTGGCATATACCGCGTCCTTGGACAAGTCCATTTCCATGTGGGACCTGGAGACCCTGGTCGCGGTGGCCACCTCCCCGCCGTCCAGCCTCTCGGTTTCCTGTGACCCGACCCGTGCGTGCCGGGTCCTTTGCCATCCTTTGCCGCCCTTCCATCGCCGACCTCTTGCTGGCCCCCGTTACTCCGCACATATTCTTTCCTCCTCCCTGCCCTCCCTGCCCTCCCTGCCTCTCTGCCTCTCTGCCTCTCACATACCCATGCATGAACACACGAACATGTGCAACCCCTCCCATGCGCACAGGCGTGTTCCACGAGTCGGGACTGTGTCTTCCTTGCCCACTGGCCACCAGTGCCACGGGCGACATTTTGGCCACCTCTTCCGGCCTGTACGCCTCGGTGTTCAGCTATTCTCAGAGCTCTCAGCCGGTCATCCACCTTGGTGACCCATCGGACCAGATCCGCTGCCTGGCGCTAGATGCCAGCGGCCTTTGGGTGCGCCATGGGTCCCTGGCCATTTGTCCCCGCCCGCTGCCCCTTCTGCTCCGTGTCTGACCTGTGTCTTGCTGGGCGGCTTCCGCCGGGCCCATCCCTGGTACAGATGCTCACCGGCTCCTCCGAGGGCGCCGTTCGGTTGTGGGACCTGCGCAATGTCACCCAGCCCCTGGCTACCTCGCATTTCCATCGGTCTTCGATCACGGCCCTGTCGCCGATCTTGGTACGAACACGCGCTCACGCACACACGCGCATGTGCAGGGGACATCCCTCTGCTTGGTCGCCGGTGTCTCGCGTTTGCTGACCCCATCCGGTCGGGGTCTTTTCTCCGTCGCCTGGCCTTTCAGAGCTCCCCCGCCGGGTTTGGCCTTGTGGCATCGGCCGACCGCGCCGGGCGCATTCTCATCCAGGACTTTGCCCCATGCCACCCGCCGGCGGCCAGTGCCTCGGCCTTCCAGTTTGACATTTTCCCCTCCGAGAGCACCCTTTTGGCCACCTTCCCCACCCAGGCGGCCCCGGTGCTGGATGTGCGACTCCCTTCCTTCTCCCCCCCCCTCTCCATCGAACCATCCCTTTCTTCCTCTTGCCCTCCTCCTTTTTCTCTTTTTTCTCCCATCCACGTCCTTCTCCCCCTCCCCATATGCCTCCCTCTCCCTCAGACGCATCCAAGCGAAACTCACACGCCACCACCATCCGGCCTTCGCCGGGCCATTGTGCGCACCTCCAGCTACACTTTGTCGAGCAAACGCCCCCTGGGCCGCCGGGCCAGCTGCCGCCCGACCAGCAGTCCTGGCGCCTCTGGGCGTCGGACACGATCGGCAATGTGACCATGTTTGATTCTCCGGCCCCGGCTGCCGGAGGCCGGGAGGCCTTCCCCACCGGCTCGGCCGGCCCTCACGGCGAGACAGTTCTTCCAACTGCCTCGATCTCAGCCCCCCTGCCGGGGGTCCGCCTGCCGGGGGATCTCCCGCCCTGCGTGCCGCCGAGCTATTGCCTGGTGCCGGATCCAGCCGGGACGATCATCCGCGCGGCCCCCCTGACGACGCACCTGACCCCGGCGGTGCTGGTGGAAACTGGCGACCACAACTTTTCTCTGTTGTGTCTCTTCAGCGGCCAGATGCTGCCGGTGGATGTGTCGACCTCGGATGCGCGGCTCCCCCCGATGTCGCAGTTCACTCGGCAGGAGTTTGCCTCCTTTGATCCGGCAGTGCGCCGGGAGCTGGCCTTCGAGCATCGGTTCGACTGCATCCTCAGCAGCAAAAACCAGCATGGCCCGCCGCCCCCCCCCTCGTATCCGGTGCTTTCGTGTCTTGGTGTGCGTTCCCCCCCGTGCCCCCCCCTGCGGCCTTCCCCCCCCCCCCCCCCCCCCCCCCGCCCCCCGATCTCTTTCGGTCCTTTTGGCCCTTTCCCTCCCTCTCTTCCCCTCGCGCATTTGTTCTGCTTCTCCCTCCTCCGGACTTTTTTCCCACCCCCCGGCCTTTGTTTGACCCTCTCCCTCTCCCTCTCCCCTTCCTCCCCCCTCACGCACACGCACACACATGGCTCCCCCCCCCCCCCATGTGCGCATGCAGAGCCTTGTCGTTCACTTGAACCCGAGCCAGGTGTTCAATGGCAAGCGCTCGACAGCGGAGCTCCTCCGACCGGACACGGTGTTCCCCTTGCGGCCGACCGGACCCGGGGAGGGGGCTCTGACGCGGCCGGTCCACCTGACGCACCACCAGCTGCTCCACCCGCATCCCAGCCCGGAAACGGCCCCCTGGATGTTGATGTACACCGGGGCCGGCGGCGGCCGGACGCGCGGCAGCTCGCGTGCCCCCCCTCCCCCGGTGGTTGCCGGGTCCGGGCCTGCCGGCGCTCGGCCCGAGGACCCGGCGGCCGTGACCAACTTCGGCCGGACCCTGCTCTTCCTGGCCCTGCGGTCTTGGTGGTTGCGGCACCAGCTGACCCAGGACCCCAGTGAGTCGCTGTCGTCCAGCCCGGACCCGGCGGCGGCGGCGGCGGCGGCGGCGGCGGTGACGGCCGTGACGGCGACCGGGTCCCAGCCCGTGACCGAGGCCCTGCCCACCCCGGCTGTCGCCACCCCCAACAGCCCGAGCTTCAGCAAGCGTGCGGCCTTGGTTTCGTTTGGCCGGAAGTTCCACCTAGATACCCTGCTCCGGGACTCGTCTTCCACCGAGTCGCTGGCGGGCTCGGCCTCCGGCCGGGGGGCCGGGGATGGCCCCGGGCCGGGGATGGCGGCCCCGCAGCAGGTGGCCTCCTCACTGGACCTGGTCGAGGCCCTGGAGCCTGAGGCCGGCGCCGACCGGCATCCGGCGCACCTGCACTCGCCCAGTGCCAATCCGGTGTCGTGGAGCACCGGCGGCCTGGGCGAGTCGGGTGCCGCGGCAGGGCCCCCGGGCCCCGGGGCGCGGCTCCTGCCGCACCCTCCCCCGGGGGAGGAGGTGGACCTGGCGGATGGCCCGGCCGCCGGGCTGGCCGTCGGGGCTGGCCCGTCGGACTCCGTCAGCGGGGATCTCTTCCTACTTCCCGGGGCCTCGTCCGGGGCCTCGTCCGCCGGCAGCCAGTCGCCGCATTCGCCGCAAGATGTGGCCCTGGCGTCGGTCACCTCCTCGCCGCTGGCGGCCCTGCATGCCCTTGATGAGAGCTGGCTTCTGCGCCACTCGCCCTCGGGGCTGGCGCAGGAGTTCGCCCACTTCCCGCATCTGCTGCCGGCCAGCACCCTGGTGTCGGTGAATGTGACGGTGGGCCCGCCGCGGGCCGGGACCCGGTCTGGGGCCCCGACCGCCGGGGCCCCGCTCACCTGGGGCACTCCCCTGTGCATCTTCAGCGCCGGCGTCCGGTCGTGTGGCTTCGGCTCGGTGGCCCGGAGCCCGGAGGCCGACGGCCGGCTGGTCTTCCCGGACTTTGACATCCAGCTCTCGCAGAGCCTCTCCACGCTGACTCTGGACACCTTCCGCGCGGCCCAGGCCCCGGGCGGGCTCGGCACCACCCCGATGTCGTCCTCCTTCGGGGTCGGGACCTTTGGCAGCTACCCCAGTGGTGTTGTGGGTATTGGCGCCAGCGGCGGTGGCATGATGCTGGGGACCGGGACTTCGCCCTTTGCCCGGGCGGACACCTTCCAGCCGGCCCCGCCGCCATACCGCGGCTCGTTGGCGGTCCCGGCCGCCGGCGGCCTGTCGGCGCACCATCCGGCCATCGGCGGGCCGGGCGCCACCACCCTGCCCGGCTCCGGCCCGGGAGCCGGATGTGGCGCCGGTGGCGGGGTGTCCGATCCGCCGGCCGGGGCGGCGCGATTCATCCCTGCGCCGCTGGCTCCCCTGGCCGAGCCGGCCCCCTGTGGCGCTGGGGTGACTGCCTCTGCGGCGGCCGTGGCCCCGGCTTCGCGGCCGGTCCCCGGTTCGCCGGTGGCCAGCTTCAGCGTGGTCTCGGCCCCGGGCCAGCCGGCGGCCCCAGCCTCGGCCGGGCTCACCTTCAATGTCCAGCACCCCACCACCATGTCCTTGTCTCCGGGGCTCGATGCATCGGCGGCGGCGGCGGCGGCGGCGGCGGCTCCCGCGGACCGAGGGCCGGGCTCCCAGTCGGCGTCGCCCTCGTCGCCGCTCGCGGCCGAGCCCGTGGCGGCCCCAGTCACAGCCGGGCCCCCTGGCTCTGACTCTGTGCCTGCCTCGGCCCCGGCCACTTCGCCCTTCTCGCCGCTCAGCATGCTCAGCCCGTCCTCGCTGGCGGGGATGTCCTCGGCGGAGATCTTTGCCGCCGGGGCCACTCGTCCTGTCGGGGGGGGGGCCGCGCCGGCCGGTCGCTCTGCGGCCCCTGGCTCCTCGGCTTCGGCTGGGGGCCCTGTGGCCGATGGCAATGGCGGCAGTGCCTCCTCCTCCTCCAGCAGCAGCAGCAGCAGCAGCAGCAGCAGCAGCAGCAGCAGCAGTGGCTACCCGGAGGCCGGTAGCGCCTACCACTCGGCCCCGCCATCGATCGAGGATCGGCCGGCCGCTGTCGCCATGCCGGTCCCCACCCCCAACGGCGGGAGGACTGGCTTCGGAGCCGGCATCAGCGGCAGCATGGGCGCGGCGCTCTTCGGCTCGACGCCCTCCGCCGCCGCCGCCAAGCACCAGCCCCCCCCCACGCCCGGCCATCCGCCGCGGCTCCCCTCCACGGAGATCGTGTGCATCCTGGACGGCGCGGCTCCTGTAGCAGGGTTCTCACGGATCCAGTCTTACGTCAAAGGAGTGAAGCTTTGACGGAAGCTATACCGGAAATCTTACTACTGGTTAGGGACCGC